TGATTGACCGAAGTCTACAACATTATGCATAGAAATAAACAATATCCCGGCAGTGCGTGAAGCTAATTAAATACTATAAGAAATACGTTAGGGCGTATTGATTAGCACACATAGAACTCTAGAAAATTGTTTGCAGAGTACATCTAAAGATTTTCACCCGGCTGGTCGTTGAACTGCGAACAGTATGCAAACAGGACTCTATTACTTGCCCCCTAGAGAAGAGATTTACATCTATGATTATGGAATGAAGTAAGGACATTCTAGAGAGGAGAATTTCATCCTTGGTTATGGAATGAAATAAAGACATTCTAGAGAAGAGAAGAAGGGGGATAGACCCACTGCTCCCTAAGAAGCATGTCGTGAAAGACAACTAATTATGGACCATTTTTTTTTTTTGGAAGTCGGAGTGCATATGCATGAGGGGCGAGACACCAACAATTTGCCTATAATTAGGCTAGATCTGTTGTTATAAAAATGAATAGTTGTGCACGCAAAACTTAAGCTCTGGAACAAGACCAGAGTTCAGAAGTGGACAAACAACTAGAACTTTGGGCCGGAGCCCACAGCCAATGAATATGAGGAAGAAAGGGGTACACAAATCAGAGCTTGGTTACTATTATTACATCTACGTGTTTTATAAATGCCATTGTCAGCAGAATTCACCCCGTTAACGAAAATAAGAAAATTTGTATAACAGAATGAGATAAAGACTGGAATAAGTTACACAGATCTTAGTAAAAGAAGCGAAGCGTGGTAGAAAAAAAGGCATCATCACCCTGTGGCATGTCTAAAAGCATAGGCTGTCGTGGATCACTAAGTCAAAGGATCACCAGAATCACGGATCAAGTTAGTGTTATTGTTCCGATTCATAGAAGTGTGTCAACCATCAATGTATTTACCTCTTTACCTTCCCTCTGCCCGTTTTGCATCAGTCTTACCCGTTTTTGCCAAGTATTTTATTCTGTTCTATCTAGGATTTCCAGATTTAGTAAAATAAAAATAAAAATAGAAAAACGTAGTGGTGACTTATTATAGGTTTTCAACAGTGTTTACAACTACTACTATGCCATAAAATTTGCATAATAATCCCACTAAATTACTCCACAGAAACAAAATTTGGAGGGAAAACAGGCACTGAGGAATCGGTTGAAACAAATTATCTAACAGTCCTAATTCTTCTCCCTAATATTGATTATATCTTCCTTGATAGACGTAGTTGCTCATGATTTGCCACCACACTATTTGCTATCACATGATTTGCCACCACATGATTTGCCATCACATGATTTGCCACAAAATGATTTGCCTTCACATGATTTGCTACCACATGATTTGCTACCACATGATTTGCCACGACATGATTTGCCACCACTTGATTTGCCACCACGTGATTTGCCATCACATGATTTACCACCACATGATTAGCCATCACATGATTTGCAATCACATGATTTGCCATCACATGATTTGCCACCACATGATTTGCCACGACATGATTTGCCACCACAGGATTTGCCAGCACATGATTTGCCATCACATGATTTGCCATTACATGATTTGCCATCACATGATTTGCCATCACATGATTTGCAATCACATGATTTGCCATCACATGATTTGCCACCATATGATTCGCCAGACCCTCTCTGATGATCAGAATCACTGATCATGTCAGTGCTTTTGCCCCGCCTCACGTGCGTGTGTGTGTCTGTGTCTGCGTGTGTGTATGTCTTTGTGTGTGTGTGTGTGTGTGTGTGTGCGTGTCCGTATGTGTCTATGTCTGTCTGTGTGTGAGTCTTTGAATGTCTTTATGTGTGTTTGTGTGTGTGTGTGTGTGTGTTTGTCTGTGTTTGCATGTATGTATGTCTATATTAGGTATGCATTATGTGGATGGGTGTATTTATGTATGTATATATGTATGTATGTAAGCATGTATGTAAGTATTATGTATGTATGTATGTATTATGTATGTATGTATGTATTATGTATGTATGTATGTATGTATGTATGTATGTATGTATGTATGTATGTATGTATGTATGTATGTATGTATGTATGTATGTATGTATGTATGTATGTATGTATGTATGTATGTATGTATGTATGTATGTATGTATGTATGTATGTATGTATGTATGTATGTATGTATGTATGTATGTATGTATGTATGTATGTATGTATGTATGTGTGTATGTATGTATTATGTATGTGTGTATTATTGGATGTGTGTGTATCTATGTAGGTATGTAGATGTGTATGTATGGATGTGTGTAAGTGCTTGGGTGGGCGTGTGTGTGTGTAGGTGTGTGTGTTTGTGTGCCTCCGCAAGTGTGCGCGGGTATTTTACTAGCCATGCTTCTGTTTTTTCTCTTGATATGCATAATACGCATATTGTTAAATAAATACAACATACTTTAGTGATAAAATACAACTGCTTTGTGAAAGATGGGTGTTTGGAAGATCCGAGTGTAAGACGGGCCTGGGTGCCTAATTTGTGACCTTGTGAAAATAAAGTTTGTTCGTTCGTTCGTTTATTCGTATGGCTAAGCCATCAAAGAAACATCTTTGCCTTCCATTCCTTTTTTTCCAAACCATGTCAGTTGCCCCCATGTATTCGTATCTATTCCTTCTCATTTGAAAAACTGCCAGTTAAGGCCTTAATTTGCCATTAGTGCGGTGTTCCTGGGCCCGAGAATTGAAAGTAGTGTGGCTGGTGCTGTCGTCGTCGTCAATGCAGGTTAGAAGTTTATTTGTGCCGAAGACAGAAAAGATCTATAACCTTCTCAATGATTCGAACCTAGGGCTCTTGCATGAGAGCCTAGTTTTCTCAAGGATGGTTAGCCTCTCCTTCTCGTTACATGTCCAAAAATAATGACTGTCTATATCAAATTTCTGTAATCAGTTTATGGTTTTATTCTGTCACAATGTGGGCCGTTTCGTAAGTATTTTTGTCATTCCTCGCTATTTTTTGCAGTTTTTTAACAGAAACCAAATGTCAGCTGGCATTGGGTGTTTGTCGGCTTGCCTGCTTGTTGTCTATGTATATAATGAACAATTTCTATAGAACCACGAACGCAGATCTAATCAAGGCAAAAGAGATTGAAAGTTGAATCGACTACACAGATATAACAATATGATGATATAACAGAAGCAGAAATAAGCGAATAGGTCTAAATTAGGGAAACAAAATTAGATGTAGAACTAAGTGCACAGATCTAAATGAAGGATGAGAGATTAAAAGAAGAAACACGTGCACAGATCTAGGTAAAAGTTGATATAACAGAAGCAAAAATAAGTATCTAAATCCATTTAATCAATCAATCCTCATCGAGCAAAGAGGCACATACAGCAGAGATAAACTGTCGGCACTCAATTCCATTCCGAGCCATCATCTCGATCTCCAGTTTTGTACTTCGCGTAGCCTTGAGTTTAGCCTAAAATGTTTGGCCCTCCAAGTGCCTCTGGATCTGCTTCTTCCTCGCTGTCCTTGTGAAGTCCACTGTATTTATTACCTTTCTCGGCCGTCTCTCTATCGTCATTCTGAGGACGCTTCTAATCCACCTCCATCTTCGTTGTTTGTTAGTTTTTTAAATATTTTTTATTTCTAAATTTGTTGTAATCTAGAATTGCTGATTTTATCTTCCCATTTGAACCCCAAACATCTTCTTAGAAGTCTTCCCTCAAAACCTCGGAGCATGCTCTATAGCCTTTTGTCTATTTTCGAAAGTTCTGCTCCATAGAGGAGAACTGTCCTAACGCACGTTTTGTATGTCCTGAGTTTAGTTTTAATGCCGTAGATGTTTGATCCCTAGACCGATTAGAAATGGAACCAAATACGCCAATTTAAATAAAGGAAGAGTGCTTGAAGTACAACCTTACATTAAATGACTTTTTTCTTACCAGAACTTAATCGGTAAGTTAAAACAAGTGTAATCTTGTAATATGATGATGATGATGTAAATCAAGTAGAAAAAATTCAGTGACATAAAACTGAAAGAAGACGAACGAGTATTGTGTGCCTAACTTTAAATCGAGTTATTAATAGTATTTGTATACCCTTTGTTTTTCATTTGTTTAATCAAAATCTAAGGGTTCTGAATATGGAGTACGAATTCATTGGTTAGCACAGGACTAAGATTACACCAGATGTGGTTATAAGTCGACACAGAACCAGTACTGAATTTTATTGGGGAAAAACGTATCGATTGGTTAAAAAAAAAAAGGTAAAGTCGGGAGATGTGAACCAGCGTCATTGCAAACGGTTATAAACCATAAGTGCTCTGCCACCAGTACGGACAGCTGATAAGAAATTGTCCGCCTGAGTCACCGTCCGCAATAACTCCGTAGCTACAGCCACGTTCCTCCATTTACCCCTGAGTTTCAACCCTGGTACCCATTTCCTAGAGGCTGGGTAAACCCTGGGAAGAGCCAGGTTTAAAACACTGACTTTGGTCTGCAGCGAGTCACAGCTGTATATGAAAGGGAGTCTCCTATCGACAGCGCAAACATGGTCCCTAATTGGTTTGGTCATAAAACAAGATTGGCATCAGACAGGGCACCACAGAGAGCCATATTACACAGTTACATCGGTAAAATAACCAGAGGTTGATCAAGCAGACGACAGACCGCAAAAAAATCAGAGACACTGTGAACTACTATTTACAAAGCAAACTGAAGGCCGCGTTTTATATATCTATCTCTTATTGTCCCGACGATGCAATGCATTCCATGAGTAAAGAAAAGAAGAATAAAAACATGCAACCACTGTGGGTGTACAAACTATAACTTCTCTGTAGGTTGAACAGGATGTCTGGAATTTCCCATGCTGGTCGGCCGTCTAGATTTAGATTTTTAAATCTCGAGGCAGTTAGACTATATCAACTATTACTAGCCCAAATACTGACTCGATTCTTGACAGGATATCATAGGATACATGATGGGTTTGAACAAGGAAGTAATAATCACAACATAAATACCAGGTTCACTGATGCGGTGACATATCAAGGTTCTTGCACGGAACAATCACATCGTCTATCAACCGTGTGGCAAGCATCCCTTGAGTGTTGATCACTATTGGTGACGTATGTTGTATTAAGAACCCGAGATGAAGGGTCACAGTTCGAATCACAAGGTACCCGATCCAAACGTAGTAGTCTTTTGAACGCTGTGCGAAATTCTCGGTTAAAATAAGCATAAATTAATGGGTTGAGGCACGAATTGAAATAACCTACCCAGAACAACGCTGATCCTAACATAGCTGGATACGGGCAGGCGTCTCTACACATAGTCGTTGCTACATACCATGAAAAGAAAGGTAAAAAACACAATATAAAAGCACCCATAATTATCCCAAGAGTTTTGGCAGCCTTATGTTCCCGCTTCATACGCCTCCGTTCAGATCTATGGGCGTCCCTGTCTATGTTTAATCCGTTAGGGTCCCTAAGATCTGAGTAGTGTGTGTAAAGCGCTGAAGTCTGTATCATTTTTTCCTGTCTCCGTGCTTCCATGAAAATTCGCGCGTACACAAAAACCATAATTGTGGCTGGAATCCAGAAAGAGACACTAGAAGAAACGCCTGCGTAAACTTTGTTCACAATGAATGGGCAAGAATCTGGGTCGTTGACAAGTGTCTGGACGTTTTCTTCTGTTGTGTAGAGTTGTGAATAAACAGGGATGAAGGATATAAGGATCGACGATACCCAGGTCACGCCGAGCATAATCAGAGCTCTTTGTCGGGTCATTTTCGTTTCGTATTGTAGCGGGTGTAAGATAGCAATGTATCGATCCATGCTGATACAACAAAGATGTAGAATAGATGCTGTACTGAATAAGACGTCGTTGGCGTTAAAAATATCACACATTATCCTACCAAATACCCACTTACCGGTAATCTCCATGCTGGCATTGAAGGGCATTACCAGAATGGCAACAAGAAGATCGGCGAAAGCTAGAGACACTATGAAGAAGTTTGTAATGCCACGGAGTCTCTCGAATCTAAACACGCTGCTGATAACAAGAACATTACCGAATATTGCACCGACCATGATAGCTGCCATCGCCATGCCGCGAAGTACAAGACCAATTGCTGAAAGGGAGGTAATTTGCGGATCATATTCATCAATTTCCAGTTGAGCTAAGGAGAAGTTTTCTGTCGTCAGATTTCCTCCTTGGCTAACTTGCATACTGACGACAACACAGCAAGTATTTGTCACAGAGCTGTGATCGAAGATTACGATGTTTACAGATAATTCACCTACCAGCAAGTGATTTGCATCTCGCGAGGTAGGGCTGAGAAACAGGGCTAGAAACAATGCCCTTCTGCTAAGCCTACTTGTCATTGAAGATCATCTAATTGTCTTTTCTAACGATCAATCGCCTTCAGGTCTCCATAATTAAATTCCCTCGAATCTCTTGGGGGGAAAAATGAAAGACTTTGTTCCTCATTAGCTGAAGATCTTGAAATACATTTACGTTGAATTCCATTTATGAATGATGATTTCCCAACTGCTATACTTGAACCACTCGATGCGAAAAAAAAAGTCCCATCATAGAAGAGTTAATTAATTGTAAAAAACAAATACAAAGGCTATTATGAGACACACAACGCTGAAAAAAGTTCCTATCTTTCTACGCTCGGCAACATTTCTTATTCTTGAAGCTGTAAATTACACTGTTTAAAAAAATGGGTGCCGTCTTCATAATAAAGGTTGGATTCAGTGCACCCACTCCTCTCTTTAGAACTATTACGTACTGAGTTCAAATTATCATTCACAGCACGACTCTAGTCATCAGAACTGTGTACTCTACCAAATAAAATGACACTGTTACACATCTATTACTCTTGCAGACTTGACGCTGCCAGATTACTATTTACGATACTTTTATCATAACACCAACAACTCAAGTAGAAATTTTAGGAAACTCCTTCCACCAACATTACAAATATGCCAGGTATTAAGTAAATTTTCTGTTAGTGTTCTCCAGACTTGTTCTGGCGAACCACGCAGTCTGGCACAAGGGTGATATTCCATTTTGACTGGCTCGCTGAGCGGTGCTTGGTTATTGATCTCCATTCAAATTGATGTAACCGGCTGGCCGATTACTCACTGGCCGGCCTTGTCTGTAAATTGCTAGCTTTCCACATTACTGTTACTATCTGTCTTCCTGATACATTGTTTAAACCCCGTTAGACCTTGAAATCTCTTTGCAGTATGTTGAGAGGAAAGTAATAAAAATGATTATGAATAAGCAACCGAAAAAGAAAAAAAAAAAAGAAAACTTATAATTCTCTATCTCTCCCAGATTCACCTCGTCTTTCACCTTCTGCTCCTCTTCCTCTCCCTTCTATCTCCCAAGGAGTGCAGGTTTTCATCCAGCTCAGATTAGTTCTTTTGTGGGCATAACCATGGAGAGTGGCTGAAATTTGTACGTAACGATGTGTACTGGATGTGAGTGTCCAAGCAAACTCAGGCCAGTTTTCCTTAGTTCTTTCTTACGACATGCCGGGTAGAAGTTTACTGACTGTCTACCCCAACAGGACATCACACTGAGCAATAAACACATGATAACACAAAGTGCCACCATTAGAAGGAGGATCATCCATGGAGAGTTTCCAGAAACGTGTGTTTATATTAGGGCCACCGGGAACAGCGGAAGTGGGGCTTCACAATAACGAAAACTTAGTCCCGTATGGGGACAGGGATTATCATGGTAGTAGTTCTCACCAGCCAACCAAGATGAGGGAAGGCTCTTCAAAAAGAAGTATGACACGGTGTGGAGAAAGCCGTAAGGAGTCCAGATCGTTGACTTACCTCCTCTCAGCTAGGAAAACCTCCAGAATTGGCACCTGGAATGTTAGAACTCTCTATGATATAATGAGAACAATGAAAAATGTCTTTGGATTGGAACCCACAGGGGCATAGGAATAAAGGAAGGCCAAAATTACATGGAGAAGAGAGCTGGAGAATGAAGTTAGAAAGATTGGGGGGACATGGGGAGAGCTCAATGCAATGGCGAAGGATAGAACGACTTGGCGTGAGTTGGTTGAGGGCCTATGCTCCATTGGGGGATAGAAAGGCAGAAGAAAAAGAAGTTCTCACCACATCTGTCATTGGGTGCCGACTGGTTTACACAAATACTGGACGCATCAAATGCATGTGACACCTTATATTCAGCATCATTATACATACAAAAGGAAACTGCTTAAATATTATCTGAGCACAGATTTCGTGTCCCCTTGAAAGATAAAAGTGTGTTAGAAAAAGAGTATATTTCCGGTAGAGTTGTGGTAAATACAATGGTTTGCTGTAGTTAGAAATGTAAATATAAATCGAATGCATTTCAGTGCTTCTAATTAATATTTGGCTGCTGTTGATAATGTTTACTATTGTGTTGACAGATGTATGAACATACTGAGGTATGAAAGGAGGCAAAGTCAGAATGTTAGAGTGGCTTGCGTGCTCAGTTCATAATCCTTTAAAAAACAAACAAAATGTTTTTTTAAATGTGTTTCATCACTATATAATGTAACAAATTAATTAATTAAAAACGGACATCTGGGCACAAGGGTCATTTCCAAATGTACTCAGACCCCTTCCTCAGTAGCCAGAGAAAAGTTCCTATAGTGAAAGTGCCAGCTGAAACCTAAGTAGCCAGTGTTGTCCGCTGCGCGAAGAAAAGCATCAACTGTGCCCCCAAGGCTGCCGAAGTTGGTACTTTAGTACACATGTGATACTATTCGACCCTTGCCGAGCGGAGCTGTACTTTTGTACAACGACCGATGTTTTCGCACGCTTCAGAAGTTTGACATTGCATAAAACTTTTAAAAAGAACAACAACGCGTAAATGTTTGGAGGGTACTGAAAGTAATCGTGAGGCTGGAAACAGTAAGTGTAACTGAAGAAAGACAGACGTCATTTGTCATGACGTTTCCCAACCTTGTTATAGAACATAACAAACAAATAAATACAGAATGGAGGTAACTAATATTGCAAGATCAACCACTTAATGCTGGAGGAGAAAACCCCACCACAAATATTTAAGTTTACAATTTCAGAAGAGAAATGTGGAGATTAAAATCTTTTTTTTTTTAAATTTGTTTTAAACGTATCCCCAGCCTTTGGAACTTACCGCATTTCTCTACATGTGCAGAAAGAATGCCCTTTCACTTTTAACAATATTCAGATTTAAAAAAAAAAATCACTCTTTTCTGAAAACTTCAGCTGCAAATACTATTTATTGCTCCGGGATATCAAATGTGGCAACTGGAATCCGCTACAACAGCTTTGTAACAAACTAAGAAGGGTACTTGTATAGCAATGTTGTAGTGGACAAAGAAATTCATTTCCGATCAATTATAAAGTAAGCCAGTATTATAAAGGCGCGTGTGTTGGTGTTTGTGCGTGTTTGTGTTTTAAAGCCTGTTCTAAAAGTGTTTTATTAACCTTTTTTTTTTAAAAAAAATTAAAGATTACAAATGCGTTAGCATTTTGTGTGTTTTGGTACTTTTTCACAACAACAACAAAAATAATTTGATACTATTCAGAACAATACTTCAACAGCCTTGCTGCTTATTCCCTGCTAAATCAGTTTTTCGAGGGACGCATTTTCTGTCTGTTCCGTGACTTATGTCTAGAGAGCTTTTACCACAACCACTTTATCATAAATTAGCTCACCCCCCAGAAAAGGGGTAACAGCCAATCTATTAGCCTGCTCATAACCCGTACACTATAAAGTTCATACGCATAGAATCGAAATTTAACAAAAACACTGTTCGGGAATTGCTTAACCAATTGACTATTTCAGATGCATAGATCTGGTTTATCGTAGTTAGTTTTATATTCTATTAGCATATCTTGTCTAACTTGTAGACGACATTCGTTGATCACCCCAAAAATAAATCAATATTCAATAAATCCATTAGTCTTTGTCTCTTGCACTGCATTAAACAGAAACAAATTGCGCCACATTTGTTTAAAACCAAAATATGCTACAAATGTGTGCTTAAATACACTCTTAGAGTGTCTGTGTAAATTAGTCCCCACAAAAAAAAGGGAATGATGCCATTAAGAAAACCTGAGATAAATGAGGATCAGATGTCGCGGTGCGCTAGAACGAGTACACAAACGATCCTTGCATTTCCTACAAATTCAGTAAGATAACTGCAAAAAGAAGGAAAAAAGAAGATGACGATGATGTTGATGATCATGAAGAAAAAGAAGAAGAAGAAGAAGAAGAAGAAGAAGAAGAAGAAGAAGAAGAAGAAGAAGAAGAAGAAGAAGAAGAAGAAGAAGAAGAAGAAGAAGAAGAAGAAGAAGAAGAAGAAGAAGACGACGAAAAAAAGAAGAAGAAGAAGAAGAAGAAGAAGAAGAAGAAGAAGAAGAAGAAGAAGAAGAAGAAGAAGAAGAAGAAGAAGAAGAAGAAGAAGAAGAAGAAGAAGAAGAAGAAGAAGAAGAAGAAGAAGAAGAAGAAGAAGAAGAAGAAGAAGAAGAAGAGATAGGAAGAGGAGAAGAAGGAGATATTTTGCTTACCTTCTTCAAGAAGTGGGCAATCTTCTTTTACATTAATTAACGTTATCACGTATGAGGGTGTGCGTATACGACTAAGGTATTCTTTACAAATCCAAATTCAAATCAAACCCAATCTCCAGGCAAAGTCAATGCTAACGAGATACCAAGCCAAAACCATCCACGGCAGCCGGAGGGTATGTTAACGATCCAACTTACAACACTCTGATGATCAATAAAACAGTTTCTCAAAAGACTTTCAATAGATAACACAAGAGGGGAGAGCCGGGGCTCTTTCCATAAACCAATATCAGTCAATATTGACTAGGGAGAAAGAGAAAAGCAGACTGGGCAAATCTCAAATACATTGTTTGAACTTCAAAGAAGTTATGAATAAGGCACTCTTAAAACGTCTTCACAAAGAGCTACTCTGACTTATCTTGCTGCTCAAAGCATATATATATATATATATTTACACATATATAACATTATTGTAAACCACTTCTGCCGTTAAGCGGGGTGGGGAGGAATAATTATCGATCCATTGCACGCTGGCTGCTACTGCATATTGTCATGCCGTGAAGAAGTAGTGACTTTAATGTTGTCTATATTTATCACGGCCGTCCTTATAATGCTCTGGTAGCTGATCTTTTGAGATGTCATGTTTGTGATGGTAT